GGCTGTATCAGGTGAGGCAGAGCTCACAGGGGTGAGATATGGCCTTGTGGTCACCATCCTTTTACCTTCCCTGCAGGGCCAACTGCAGGGGCAACTTTCCTGCTCTTCTTGCCCTTGCCCAATGCCTGAACTCACATTCATTGGMGATTAAAGCTGATTGTTCCAAGGACATGGACTTGGTGTTGCATTACATTTGTCTACTGGAAAAGTAAGAGATATTATGGCTGTAAAGCTCTGGACCTTAAAATCAGGAAAGTAAGAWACACCAGAATGAGGCAGCATCACCCCAAAAGGAAACATACAGGAAAATCTCTAKCCACAAAATAAGCACGAAGTTTTACCCTAATGATTAAAATTAAAATTGATATCTGAGCCTTCAAGAGTGAAGGGATGCTTTATTCTACTTGAAGGTGGCAGGAAGGGGAACATGTCTCCTTTGTTTTGCTCCTCAGTGACAGAGTGCCACCAAGTCACAACCATTGCATCAGCTAAAGCACAGCGTGAGCTGGTGGAGATGTTTGTACTACAGTCAGTGTTAGTGAAGCAAGTACATATTTTGTAAAGCATCTTGGAAAAAGGTTACTGGTAGAAATATGATTCATTGCACCATTCACAGACCTTGTGGGTTATTGTTCTCTACCCTTCCACCTAATTTGGTGTATAATTAGGTGTTACTTATACGAGAGGTCATTCATGTCAGGAGAAGCAATACTTTCCAGACTAATTTGAGTTTTTCCTACAAATGTTAATGCTTTCTCAAGTACCTCTCCAGCTACTTGAGATGTCAACTGCTTCAAGTACTGCCACTTCATTCAGCACTGAAATAACTTTGTGGCTGCTCTGTGGCGAAACCTGGGGACCCTGCTGCAGCAAACTTCACCCAGCAGATTTGCTGTATTCCAGGTTCAGGTGAGGCTAGAGTAAGAAATATATTGTAGACAGAGGWTTTTTGTATTTCACACCAATATTGAGAGAACATTCACCAAAAAAATCAGTTTCTGGAGAGCTTGGTCTTGAATTTCACTGACTGGGCGTGTGGGGAGAAAGGCAGACAAGACTTCAAAATACAAAAGCAGAAAAAGAAAGGAAGGTGATGACAAAAATCTGTTTTTCAGTGGTGTTTGGAGCATCTTCATTGAAGCATGATCCAATCTCTGGAACCTGAGCTGTCTTAATTCCAGAAGTGCTACTTTACCAGCCATAACCTGGGCACAGAATCCTTAAACACACCCGACAAGCTTGTATGGGAATGCAAGGGAAGCACTCTTGCATTCACCAGCTCCTCTCAGCTGAAGCTGTATCTTTGTCCTTTAACCCCAATGGGTGACCATAAAAACGTAGGGAGCGCGTGAGAGAGTTTGACCCRCAGAACTGATCAGCCAAATATATCAAATGTTGGAATACGCAAGTACATAAACAATCTCCCTAAGATGTCTGACTAGCAAGGAAAAATATTGTCCTCTGGGATATTTGACACATGCTTGAACCCAGATGCCTTGCTGGGCTGGTTTAAGATGCTTCGAAATTTGTTCTGCAATAACCCAAAGAAGAGAAGTTAGAGAGGAAGAGCTAATCACTTGCTGCCTTTTTTTTATTGCTCTGAAAGATTAACTTATAAAATGTTCACCAAACAATCATATTAGAATATTTTATTAGGCCTTTGTTTACTTTTTAGGGTTTGCCTCTTGTTAAAAAACTCTTACTAACWTAAGGAAACTATGGGAAAACCTATTAACCTTTTATAAGCTTTTGAATGGGTAAAGCTTTAGGCTGTGAAAGGAATTAACAAGTATCTAAACAGGTTTGGTTTGGCAGAAAATAGAACAGTTTTAATTTATTATGTAAATGTGAAATCTGTAAAKATTCAAGCTGTTGAGCTTGCAACTTACTAAAATGATAATTATCATACAAAAACATTTATCAGTTCATTTTTCTTTCAAGTTCTCATTTTTGAGGGTATCAGGATCAGGGGCATTTTCCCAAGTAGCATAACTCTGATACTTTCTGCCTCAGGAGAATCTGCCAGGGATGTCCAGATCRTCAAAGCTGAAAGCTTCAGGCTGTCATGTCCCAAGGGCAAATGCAAAATTTGGTATGAGCAAATCTCTACTTAGCAGTTTAAACCATAGAGCAGTAGGGTTTTTTTTTTTTCCCTTTACAGTTAACCCTGTGTTACAAAACAGTGCATTGTTCCTGGGTTACTTTTTTCAGAAGCCAGCAATTAAATAAAAGTAGCATTTTGAAAGGAAAAACRCACCACTAGTTTGCTTCTCCTTTATTTTAAAAAGCCGCACATCACCCTTCAAATAAAAAGCATTTGTGATGATGAATTTGAAGCAGATGCTAAAACAGTTTGGCTCAAGAGCCTGCACCTCATACTCCTGAGACCAAGTGGTGAATCTCATTTAAGGACAGGTTCTTCTGTACAGAAAACTAAATYTACACACACATAATTAGTAGCTGCTTTGCCACAATTAATCTCACGTATGAAGGCAGCTGTTCATATGGGCTCTGTCTGCCATTTTTTAGCCCTTAAGGTGAAGACCAATATGGGATATTTTTCCTGTCATGGCAAGCAGCAAAGGTTATTCTGTCTTCAAGCAAAACCATTCCTGGGGTTCCTGAGGAAGAGGAATGCTCAAGTCTATTCCCATTTAATTTAAGGAGGTGAAACAGAAGTGCCCCCACACCTCTCTCCAAATTTACCCAAACCAGCCCACCAAAGGATGCAGCCTCCAAAACAAACAGCAACCAACAAGAGCAACCAACAACTAAAATAAAAATAAAATTTAAAATAAATAGAATTTAATAAATAAAATATTAAAGGAAACTATTAAATACACGCAAATTCAAATAAAAAAATTGAAAATTTATTTCAAAATTAATAAATAAAAAGGGAAGTACATACTCCACATGAAACATTTAGTCAGTTCTAAACAATACTTTCTCAAAGCAAATGATCTCCAGTTAGGAAAAAAATTAAATAGTTTTTCTGCAGAGATGACAGGATACTGCCAACACATTTTCTCTCATTTTCTTCTGAAAAAGCACATTTCAGAAAGTGAGGCCATTTTTTTCTGGCCTCATGTCTAAAAAAAGTGCTCTGTGCCGAGAGAGTGCTGCTGTGTTGGAGTATCTTTGACAGGATGCAYCATGGCCCTCTTTCTACAGCTGTGAGTGACTGCAGCAGTTGTACCAGGATTAATGCGCATAGCTATGTAAAAAATACACTCACAAATGTAGCAAGGAACAAAGCAGTTCCTTGGGTTTTTGAAGATTCATCTTGCCCAGAAGTGTAAAGCCTGGCTTGCTACAGCAGTATAGCAATTCTTTAAGACAAGAAATGGATGCAGCCCAAACCACAAAAGACACCTTTTATGTGTTAAGTGTTGCTAATTGAAACAATTTGCTATGCTTCATTTATGTTGAAGGAACTTCTGGCATGTTGTTTCAAAGTCTTTGTAAAAGGACTGTTCCTTCCTCSAGGCTGGATAAATTCTCCACACCACAATTCTTCAGTTTCAAAGATCACGAAGTTGGATGTTGAAAGCTATTTATACTCAAGAAATGTATCCTGCACTTTTGGKTTTTTTTGCTTTTGTTTCCAGCTTCAAAGTTTTTAGGGAGGCAGATTTGTCCCCACCTTTGTGTATGTCAGTCTGCAGTTAGATGCTGGCTGGCGAAGATATGCACGTGGATGAATGATACTTGGTGTCTTGCTGTGTCCATGCTCCCCTCAAAACATTCACAGACTTCAATGTATTTTCTGTCACATCCACAGGTATCCCACGGTAGTTTCTACGGAGTAACATGATTTTTTCCCTCCTAACGCCAAGGAGTTGAAGTCTCACTGTTGGTCTGGTGTAAACAATAAAAWTTACTTTCTTATTTCCAACTGGTGCTCTGCAAATTCTGCTGTAATCTAAAAAAAAAAAAAAACCAAAAAAACCTCGGCTTTTGATTTAGCTGGAAATTTAACTAGACTATTCACAAACATATTTAAAAATAAAGCACCTACTGAGTATTCTGATAGCTCAATCTTGTCCAAACCTTACAAATTCAAGCCMAAGAAGCAAATCTTTTTAGATTTGTTGGTTTGGGCAACAAAACCCCGAGCTTCTCTTTGCTCTTCAAAACCAAATTACATTTGGGCTAGGAGTTCTGCACCTGCTAKGAGTCCTCCTATGAGCCACCACCTTTCAATTAATGGCTAACTACACTTCAAAATTTTCATTTTTAGATAAAGACTACTGCCTGGGAATTACTCCAGGATGGCATAATTGCAGTGAAGATACAAAATGATAAGCACTAGCATTATATTTGTATTAACTGGCTGTTTTGGAGAGAGCCTAGGGATTGGATGATCCTTGCTGTGTTTCCCAGGCTTTCCAAGAGTAGATCTCTTAAATGAAGCCTAGGATCCATCTCCAGCAATTACTGGAATCCTCAGTAGTGAGAATTTCAAACATCATTTTCTGTGCATTAAAATTGCCCTGAAATAAATAAATTAGCAAATAATTTTTTAAAAAATCTAGAGAGATATCAGTGTGCACCGATTCCATGAGCTTACATTCAGAACAAAAYGGGCTTCACACATTTTCCTAAAAGTCACTCCTGGGCTGAAGGACTGTTCATAAAACGTGTTATTATCCCTGAAAAGAAATTAATTTTGAATTCAATTGAATGTGTCAGTTGGGCATGAATAAATTACAAACATCTCAACCCTACTGAGAAGTCGCTGAACTGTTAATTTTTATCTACAAATATTTTACAACCCTTCTCCTCAGTGATATGAACCTACACCTTTAAAAACAGCATATCACTGGCTACACAAGAATAATCACATGCACAGAGAGCAGTTGATTATCCCAGGAAACCAGGTTCCCTAGAAACCCCTTCCTGATGTGTAGGGTGACAGCACAGCTGCCAAAAGGCAGACATCAAAACCCTTCAGCCCAAGTTCACACACACCCAAAAAAGAGACACATTACTCCAGTTACTCCAGTTGGCAGTAGCACTACAATTTATTTACTTCTTAAAAAAAAAAAATTAAGTCACAACTTTCTTTTAATTGAAAGCACACTGAAATCTGTGCCTGAACTCTTTCTTTAAACATACCAGATAGGCACAGTGAAAGGCAACCTTAGACTGGAGATACCTGTAAACCAAGATTTATATTGCCACAACAAAAGTTGAGTTAAAATAGAACACTTAAAAGTATCAGTCAACAAGAATCATTCTCAAKGATCAAGAGGTTGTGAACAAAAACCTGACCTCCATTATGTTTTCTTCAGATGGTTAGAAGGAACATGAACTAAAAAACTCAGCTAAGGAACTGCAGAAATTGAGCTAGAGAGAGGAGAAAGTCTTGAATTTCTTTCAGAGATTTATTATTTTTCAATAAAACAGAAGTGAGGAACATTGACCRGACAAATGCCCAACCGTACTACTCTGACAAAAAATGGTTTTGGCAATTCAGTTACCTGAGAAAAACTGATACCAGTATTGCAGAAATCTTTTAAAGTTCTAAAATGACATCAAAATGATCCAGTACACTTTGAAATATGAGATCCCAGTGAGTAGCCATAGATTTAGGAATACACATTTCTGTACTAAAACATAAAAATGGGCAGGAAGATACCTGAAACAATTAAAAGGCACTTTTAGCTGGCATGTGTTTTAATACATGCTGCAGAAAAYTGTGTCAGATATGGCTTTATACTGAAACTCGTAGTGGTCCAAGCAGTATAATGGTACTGTTAAATACACACACTTGACCMAATAAATAGTCAATGAGCACAGCCATGTTTTTACTTAATGTAAACAGTAAGGTTTCTAATAAAGACAGTTGCATTTTAAATATTATTATATGTTTAACATTATTGCGTGCAACGCTTGTCTAAAAGTTTCACATCACTTTTGTGTATCACCAGGCCAGAAACAGTCTCGGGGAGATATTTGGAAAGAAATTCTGCAGTCGCTGAGTCTAGTGCTGCACAGGAAGTTACAAACACCCTCAATAAACTGCACATCTGGACAAGGCAGATGTTTGTATATAAGAGGTAACTTCATTCATGTATCCACAAGGATCTGGCCCTCATGTTGTAAAAGGTACAGAAACTGGGGCATGCTAACTACTGCACATTAAATGAGACCTGTTATTTAACTGATTTCAAGAGATGCCTTTCAAGGATGGCTAGATAACTGAAGTGTAAGTTCTGTCAGAAAACAAGAACTGTCCCCACCATCATTTCAACACTGTTACCAAATTCAGACGGATACACAAATAAATAATTTAAAACATCTAGGTTTTTCTTACAGATTAATTCTTTGTATTTCAGAGACACCAGCTGCTAGAAACAATTTACCCTGTATTTTAAACCTTAGTAACAGGTGAAGTGAAAAACACTAGTAAACAGCTGAACAACCACATCATTGTTTTTTTTATTGAATCCTTACTCTCACTTGAACCAAAAGTGCAAGATATTAGTAAAATGTGCATATCACAGGCACCTGAACAGAAGCACAAATTGGTTTAGACTTTTGAAGCTGCTTTTGTTAAAGAGAAAATGGTCTTTGGTGTAAGCTCCCATGGTGCAATCCAAGTATAACAATATCAGTTGAAAACCAGAGAAAACCCTAACTTATCTTCTGAAGGAGAAGAGCCCAAAATCAAGCGATCACACTGATGTACAGGCACAGAGCTCTTCAGGTGGCAGACATGGGCTTTCACTACACTCACATTGCCAGTGGCATGCTAAACATGATCMATTTTCAAGCTACAACTGATGAAAAGGACACTGTCCCCACCTTTGGTCAGATATTTGCAGATTGCTTAGACATGTGCAACCTGGAGCTGCCTTTACACTGATGCATTCTGCATCTTCTAGGAGTCACAGGCCAACACTCAGAYAAATAAATAATGGCTTGTGAGAGGAGGAAATACTGGACAGAACACTCTCCCCACTATCAAAGGCCACAGTTTCAAGCTGGTGGCTAGGAATTAACTTTCCTGATGCCTTTACAGTAAAAAGCTGTGGCATACCTTTGGCACCTGTTTCACAACCAGTCTTGGACAGTCCCCAACTGGTACTGAGCTTGCTAGGTGTTCACTTTAGAACTGAAAGCTATCAACAGCTGAAGTTAAAAAAAAAAAAGACAAAAAACAACTGAAAACACACAGACAAAACAAAACAACATAAAAACATATTTAAAAATAACACTCCTCTTCAGAGTTTTTTCTCCTAGGCCACTGTCCTCATACCTGTATTTCCACAGGAAACTGCTATACCTGGCATAAAACTATTCCACTAAACCATCCTGTTCCTTATTTTCCAGCAAGGGCACACTTGTATCTCCCTTATCCTTTACATCTRCCTCTCCATTGTCCTCTGATTGCCCCAATTTCTGATGAGCAAATGTGTAAGTGTCTTGGTCTGTGTCCGTCAGGGATGGAGGTTCCTCCTCGGTGTTAGAAGAGCRTTTAATGTCTTTTCTGAAGGACAATGGAGGTGGAGAAGGTGGCAAGCTACCAATGGGTCCATCAAAAGGCCGGTACACATCAACTTCTGGAGCGACTGAGCCATTGGAYTCCTTCAGCAAGTGTCCATAGACCACAGCATCATCAATAACTGCATAGACATGAGAGTCATTGTTGTGCCTYTCTTTTCCGAATAAGCCTTTTTTCCCAGGCATCTGGGTATTCACATTAGCATTGTACACTCCCACCATGGGATTCTGGGTTTTCTTCTTCCTGTTGCAGAGTTGAAATTGTTAACAGGTCAAAAACAACACATCTGGTATGTTGGAACTCAACAACAACAGCTTCTGTTTACTCATCCCAGCACACAGTGTCAGGCAGCCCACCTGGATTAAAGGCTTTACTTGTAATTTTGGAAAAAATAACTCTTGAGACTAGACATGCTTTTTTAACAGAGCAGAAAATAACTTCACACTATTTGGTTACCCACTGCTGCTCTGCTGACCCAGAGGTTGGCMAGATTAACTCCAACAGCCTCCCAAGCATTGGGATCCTGGCTGTGCATTGTACCAAGTCCCACAACATCCACTGACATTAATAAGACCCAGAGATCCCTAGATCCTCACAAAAACAAGGCTGAGTGTTACTGAAGACAAGACAGTGGATCAAAATGAAAGTCAAATGAGCTTTTCTTAGTTATGCTTTCCTGAGTGACTGTCCCTAAATTGGAAAGAACAACTGAGACTTTTAAGCCTGTATTTGTAAAGCCTTTCCTGTGTGGCAGGAAAACGTGCTCCTAACTGCACTAGTCACCATATGGCATAAATTCATTCCAGACCTACACTTTTAGGRCMCAACCACCTTGACWGCACCAAGCRTACATGTATCAGAAAGCCCAGGCTATCAATGACTTCAGACTCTGCTTGTATGAGTAATGCCATGCATGTAAGCTTTGAACAACCCACTTCTCTCCCCAAGGGCTCATCTCAGAGAAAAATGCTCCCACTTGATGTGCAGACTCCAGGAGAAGTTRCTGGAGGTCATGTGGATGAAAGAAAAATTTAGTATATCTGTGTGCATTGACAGGTTGCTTGAACAAGGACTTGAGTACAGTCATGCATGCAACAGCCACATTCACTGGGATTTCATGTGGAATTTTGATAAGGTCAAACCAACACCTGACCTATGGTACAGCCAAAAGCCTGCACTAAGGCCAAGCCAACCCAGCTATGCAGGGTGAAGTAAAGTGATTCCAGGAATGCTGCTCTGCTCTTAAAGTCWGTCAATTTAGAGTAAGGAAGCACTCCTGGGATAACACCACATCCACACCATTGCCTTCCTCATGGTTTATACCCTGGTTCAAGGGATGTGTATCAATATGTGAAACAGAGGGCCCAGCAGCTGTCCCAAAACGCCTTTTTGAACTGCTAAGTCACACATGCTGAATTATAAACTCACTTCTTCTTAACACAGCACACTGTCAGTCCAATCGCCAAGAGCACTCCAGCACCAGCCACCACAGCAAGTATGATTCCAAGATCTGCAAACAGACAAGGAACAAGGACACTGAGCAAAAGAAAGAACACCAGTTTTCTCCTAAAATCTGTCCGGGTTTGAGCCCCTTCAAGAGCTTCTAAGCACAGCAGCTGCCTGCAGAGCAGGTGGTACCAATCCATGCTCACCACAGAGCAACACAAGCCATTGCCAAGAGTTTGGAGGCCAAGCAACAACTCCTATTGTGGACASTGGAGCACAACAAAAAAATCCCAACCAACCCACCAACCCATCCACCCACCCCAAAGAGTTTGGTACAGCTCATGCACTGCTAAACTTACCCACAGCACCTCACACGCCTCTGGCTGAATAGGCAAGGAAGAGATGAAAGCACAGAAAGAAACAGAGAAGGATTCAAAAGAAGAAAATGACATTTCCACAGTTTCCCCTCAAAACCATTCCTTCCTTTCAAATACACAGGTTGTGTTGACCTGAGGTTTTCTAGGAGTCATAAAATTGATTGGCAAAGTCCATGCATGAACAAAGAAAAATTCTGCATGTTTTTAAAGAAGCATACATTAAAAAAAAAAAGAAAAAAAGACCAAAAAATTATAAAGTGCAAATGTGAAACATATTTACATAAGCAAAGCCTACCCTAAAAATGCCCCCTCATCTTCTAATTAAAAACTGTTTATGTTTCAGGGAGATGAAAGAGAACAAGAACACAGAATTTGCTGCTAGCAGTCAGGGCCCAATCTCCACTAAATGGTCAGACCTGTCCTAGGGAAAATTTCTTGCTCATGTGAAAACTGAGACTAATTGAACYGCTAACATGAAGCGAGGAATGCTTGGATGAATAAGTTTGCATAATCAAATCCCAAGCTGTTCACCAGGTCTGTGACCTTGGAAGGGAGAAACATTACTTGATCTTATTATACATTCTGTCTGTTATCTCCAATTAAAAGAGCTAAATTAAAAAAATCTTTAAAAAATGAAACCTAGTCTTACTACCCCTGATCCCTGAAATTTCTTGTGTTAATGAAAGAAAACCCAGAAACACACCACCTGCACCACAAAAAATCCCATTACATTAAAACCCCTCCTTCCTCCCCAGCTCCTAGAAGCACCCAGCTGAAACTCTTGGAAGCTTTTGGGGGACAGACATTTTCAAAGGCAGAAATGTCACACACTGCCCACATCCCAGGAGGATCACCATCCATTACTGTTAGCCCAAGGGAAAGCGAGGAAACAAGCAGAAAACAAAWACCACCACGACCTCACAGGCCTCACCTATCTGCTTGTCAGCAAAAGCCACCCAGAACTGCAAGGTCAGCTGTGTCTTATCCACAGGTCTGCAGTTGGAGACGTTCACCCAGAAGTTGTGATACATATTTCGGGGCTTGGGCAGGAGCTCGTCCTCGCGGCGCACGGTCTCCTCTGCTCCCGGCGTCTCCTCCTTGATGTTGACGTAGGCACGGCCCGTCTCGCAGGCAATGCCCATGCGGTCCTTGGAGAAGCCCAGGCGGGCAGTCTGCTTGTTGGGCACCATGATGAACCACGAGATGGAAACATAAGGAGGCAAACCRTAAGGCCAGTTGGGAGTCTGCAAGTAAACTTTAGCTTTTGGATTGGGACTCACAGTGAATGTGCACTCATCTATAGCAAAGGGAAAGATGAAAAGAAAACTTAGTTTTGATAATTACTGTCCTTCCCCACATCAGTATTRTCACAATAAACACAGATATACCTGCAGAATTTCCCACAATCAACTATTCACTACCTGGAATACTAAGCATCCTTCTCTCTTTCCAAAATAAACTAAATCACTAGTTCAGATAAAGACTAATTCTAGAACCTAGTGCTAGTGCCATTGCTAAAGAATTGAACTTTTAATTTCTGTTTATCCATATGTGCTTTAATAAGCCTAYTGAGAGATCTATCACTGTACAACCAAGGAGCATAAACCCCACTACCTTACCTTTAATATGYGGCACAAAAGACATTTTCAGATCCTGAGACATAGACTCATTGATGAATCCTTTACCAAATGTTTTTAAGGATATGGTGATGTTATTCCTCATCTGAATCTTTTCAATAGATCCACCAGGACAGAACACACCAACATTCAGCTCCCTCTCTGGGGTGGCACTAACAATGCTGTAACTGTAGCTCGTGTTGCATCTCTGCTCTGGGACATGTTGCTGAAGTTTCAAGGATGGAGATGTAATTTCTATGTTGATCAGATCGGTAGCCAAGAGCTTCCAGATAAAYTTATGCAATCGAATTGGCAATTGGGTAATAGCCTTAGGCACTGAAAGGGAATAGACCTTCCTCTGACACCAACGAATATCCATACAGCCTGCAAAAACAAAAACAAAATCCCAAGCATTGRGTATTTCTTGCAGAGGAAATACCTGGGCATACACAGAGTACTGTCAGGTTTGCATTACAGGCTCAGATAAGCATTTACCTAAGAAAATATCCTCTTAATAGCCTTTACCCAAACATGTACTGTTTGCATTTAAAGAGCTTTCTTCAACAGGTGCAGGGCACCAAAGAAAGAAACAAACATATTTAAAGTCCCTCACTCAAGATACCTGCTGACTGTTCCAGACTAGTYAAGGTACAGATACCTTAAATCCCTTTTATACCTGTAGTTGAAAGCATTTGGGAAAATTCTACATCAAGGGGACGCTCAAGCAGCATTCCTGTTGGCAACCTTGCTCCTGCATTTTCATGGGACGATTTATGGCTTTCTGGCTCTGTTTCCATAATTTGCAGTGACAAGATTTTTAAGTGAACTTCTATCTCTTCCTYTCTAGGAATAGCTATACAGTTTATATTCTTCAAGGTAGAATGATGTACTAAACAAAGTTACCTCCAAACTCATTGCACCCATCTCCCAGTAGCCAACACCCCGTTTCCAACCCCAATCCATTTAAAGCCAAAGTGAGGGAGAAGGTTTGGCTGATGCCTGGGGAAAAACCATGCAAAAGCATTCCCTAAGAAACAGCATTAAGCCACTCTCGTCATACCTATGCCTTTTTCAGCTGTGATCCTCAGGCGGGACAGGTCCTTGCACAGAAAGGAGATCCTGTAGACAGCGCCAGCGGCCAAAGTCAAGACACGGTCACAGGTGCGAGGATCCTTGCAGATCAGGCAGATGGGCTCAGACATGAGGGGGACRGAGCTGGGCCACCCTTCCAAGTGTATTGTCACAGTCATGTTCCTCTCCTTGCTCAGGTCGATCAAATGGGTGACATCTGCAAAAAAAAACCACATCCCAGAGCAATCACAGGCACGAAGCACGGTGTGAAGCAGAACTTCCTTCACCTCTTCTCACCCCACTGTATGAGCAGCTGTTACAGCAAATGCACGGAACATCTCAAAGGAGGAAATATAAGGAAAGAGGAAACAATGCAAGATTATAGCTCACAGTATAGTTCATAAAGATTGGTTATCATGTGGAAAGATAGATATCAGATCCACACAACATCCTGGTGCTGTTATCAAGGCACATCTCTCTGATGTCAAAGAAAGCAAGCTGGTCTAGTGGAAGGTGTCTCTGCCTATTCACTGATCCAGTAGAGGATGGGGGAGAAAACAAAGAATAAATACATACATACACATATAAACATATACACAYACACACAAACACACTCTATTACTACTATTTATTTTCTGGTTTTAGCTACAGATCTCAAAGTCATACACAAAAGGTGAAYAAAACAGCTTTCTGCTGTGTGGGAAATCAGACACAGAAAAAAGCAAGTGGTCAAATGGAATTATCCAAGTTGTTGGCATAACCAAGCACATAACCTAGGACACCTACCGCAAGGTTAYTCATTTTTCAGAATGTTTTTTCCCACAGCAGCTAAACACAGGAAGAGTTAGATCAAGAAGTTATTGTGACTGGAAAGAGCTGTATTTTCTTCTTATTTAATGACAAGCACCACAGGCAGCTGTGGAATACCCAAATGTTTGGGAAGCTTTGAGAATATGCAGATACCAATGCATTTTTAATAACAGCAATGTTACAGATGGCAACCTGAGGGCTGAATTTGAATCTTTGATGGAACTTATATAACTACAAAATCAATCATGAAATCCTATAAAATCTCTAGAGAAACCACTGTTCTCTCATAAATCCAAGTGGCTTATTACTTGCATTTCATTCACGACTGACAACCTGGTTTTAATATTTTGGTGATTATCGTCTTGTCTACTGGCCATAAATATATTAAAATTCTTTTTTCCTTCCAAAGTAGAAGGGAGATAAARCTGATTAACTGAATATAATGTTTTCATTCTGTCTAGCTTCCAAGATGCAACACACAATAAATGTAAGCAAACACAATTTTGTTAAAAACAATTCTGTGAGGATTTGCTGTTCATAAGTGGAGCCAGGCTAGACAGACAAAGAATTGTAAYGGTGAGATACTACAGATCCTTTCTGGATATGTGAATTCAGGGCACAAGCCATTCAAACCTTATTCTCTCTAAAATTACTTAGAAAGCCTCTAAGTAACTCCTGACACAGTGGCAGTCAAGGATGGACTTTACTCCACCTGCTCTTCTGCAGTGAGTGCACCTTGATTCTTAACCTCCACCCTGAACTGAGGTCAGAGCTACAAAGTCAGAGGCTACATCGCTAACCCCATGGCTCATTACCTAGACATGCCTTCTATTCCTGTGTTTAGAGAAATGCTCTGGTATTAGAAGTCACTGTGCTAAACCAACCTGAATTTTGGGCCGAAAACCAGTAAAAAATACTATTGTCTCAGTGTAGAGAAAGAAATGCAAAGAGCACCCAATAGTAGGGGATATTATCAGTAGAATATCTTACTGACATCTTTTGTGTTTAATGGCACTTTTTCACACTTGTTGATGTTTAGCSTTCTCTAGGAGGGAAAATAAAACTCAAAGGAAGGAAGGAAGGAAAGATACATATTGATACCATTTGTAATACAGAGACAATTTTACATCTCTCATTTCATCAGTTTATGCCGCAGATCTTGCTACATACTGTGACAACAAGTTTCACCTTGTTAAGTGCAACTGCTCACACAGGGAGCAGAAAAATGGGCTCACATATTAAAAATCATCTTAAAAATGTTGAATCTTAGGTCTGAAAGTAAAACTGTTAAAGGCATTTTTCAATTACATGATTCAGGTAAGGGAAAGGAGTCTCTATTTATAAGCTTCATTGAAAATTGCAAATTTCAGCATCATGCTTGCCGTGCTGTAATGGTGACTGGTGGTACCCTGAGCAGTAAAACAGGASTCAGTGTTGCCTGGCAACCTCAAACTCACAGAGGGACCAAAGTTCAAGGAAAATAACAAAAGATARTATTTGTCTCCCTTGTGTCCAGATATCTCTAAGCAAGGGCAATGAAAAAGGCAGGCAGGTACTTACTCTCATCAACCTGCGGGTGCTGAACRACGACTTGGAAGAGCAGGCGAAGGACGCCCGGGTTCTGGGCATCCTGATCACAGCCTTGCAGGGACATGTTGAAACTGCCAGCAATATTGGCAGGCTGGCTGTCACTCAGCTTGAACACCTCCGGGTTGCTGGGGGAGCCAGGGATGTAGTACTCCACCCTYTCCTCCTTCCTCTCGCAGTTGGAGAGGCTGTAGTTGTGGAAGAACACACTTGCTCTCATGTTGGAAGGAATCACAAACTGCCACGTCATGAGCTCGTCTTCTGGAAAGCCCAGCGGGTAGTTAGGGGACATCAGGGTGATTGAAGACTCCCCCTTCAAGATGGATTCAATAATGCATAACCCTAAAACAGGAGGGAACCACAACACATCAAACAAGTTCCAATTAATGAAGACACACTGGCATATCTAGCACCCCAGAAGCAGAGTCTTTATTTTGCCAGTGAGGTCACCCACTCCAGCTACAGGTTAGGTTATTACAAAATGCTCAGAGATTAGCTGATTTTTTTTTTTGTCTTCAATTATAGGAAACATAAGGAATATATTAATAGTGCATTTTCAGTTTAGCAGGTTAACCTTTCAAGCACATGCACAGACAAGCCTTTATTATTGGCAAAGATCCTAATTCCTACTTCTACGTCTGGCTTTGCAARAGCAAACACACAACCTGAGTCTGCGTTTTGGAAAACAAAAGATGCAAGCTTTTATACCAGCATGTGGCTCTCTACAAAAACCTCCTAAATCTAACAAAAGCACACCAGTAAAGAGCCTCAAAAAGGCATAATAAAGCACAAATGTGAACTGTGCAGACTGCACAAGACACTTTATCCTTGGATGACTCTTGGCAGGATGAAGTTGGGTACACAGAGATTATGGTCCCACTCTAGGACTCAACTGATGATGTGCAACTGTGAGGAGCGCCAGGAATTACAGAACACTCATGTTACAGCAATTAGAACCTGGACCAGGTTTCTTTCATAACTGATAGCAACAACACTAGAATTCAAGTACAGAGCAACATTTATCATGAGATCACAAAGTAATCCAATGATTGGTGTAAAATATTTCAGGTATTTCAGGAAGATGATTACRTAACAGTTCATGTTACTGTACAGGTTGAAACAGATAAATGTATTTAAGCAGCCTCCTGTGCCTCCCAGGCACTGCTTCACCTACCCCCACACTCCCCTTTCAAAGAGAGGCATTGGTTTGAGGCTCCAAAAATTAAAGAAACTTTTTAAAAAAAATAAACAAACCAAACTACACATTGAAACCAGCAAAATTTCTCTGACTCATTTGAATTATACTACCTAGTTTCACCCAGCTGAAAAGACACAAAAACAAGAAAGCAGGTACATTTAAGTTTTAGGAAGTTTAAAGATATTTAAAATTATTATTGTGCACCARAAGCAGCAATAGAACAATTTTCAAAATTAGCAATTGACCAAACTAGGATATTTTGACTCCAGAAGGCACAATCTAACCAAACTAAAGATCATACAACAATCTTTTTCAGAAGAGATGAAGTGGAAGGGAGTTAGGGATAACAGAACCAAAACTAGAAGGTCAGCTGTGAGGAAAGGCTGAAATAAATTCTGCTGCAATSTGCAGGAGGCAATTGCACTATTCCATACTCACGCTTTATGGAAGTCCTGTTAGCTATGCTGAAGCCTGARGTGGTGAGAAGCAAGTGCCACGGGAGGTGCAGGGACATGAGCATTCCTCCCAGCAACTTGACRCGAGACACGGAGCCATTCCGGCAGAAGGTGCCAATGTTGACCGTGGCCTTATCAATACAGCTGTTGATGTTGTAGCTAATGGAGTCTGGGCACGACTCTCCTGGTCCAACCTGTCTCAGCCACGGGGTAGCAAATTTTAGCTCAAGTCCAGCTTTTGTGCTCGCCTTCACRTCCCAGATGTACGTCCTGTTAAGGTGAGGCAGTCCCGGTGGGTAAAGATGAACATCTCCAAAGGGACACGGGCCTGACACACAGTCTAAATGCAGAGAGAGAAGACTGTGATACACTCTGGAAAGCACGGGAAATTTGATACTTCCTTTTCCTTGCTATTATCATCACTTTTAGATTGCATTTAACTTCTCTCCTACGTGCACCAAAAGACACTCCTGTAACCCAGTCACATGTAGTCTCCAAACAGGACTCCCAGCCCATAGAACAGACAGGATAAACCTGCTTTAGTCAGGCTGACTAACARAAGAGATTCATTGTCTCCAGTATTCCACCTTGTTTGCTAAAGAATTTAGAAGGTATTTGGTGAACAGGGTAAACTCTGAATGGGCAAAATGGAGAAATGCAGCATCAAGASAGCAGGGAATCACAGATCTAGAAAATTCATTTTATCCCATCTCCCCCAGAGAGTTCCTGGCAAATCATTCATCTTTACATTTTWTGCTGCTCGCCATGAACTGTATTTTTGTTCCCTTGGTGCCTGGATGAATAACAATTGCCACTGCAGGATTCTGGGGAGAACCCAGAAAACTTTTATCTGAAAAATCCAAATAATTGATTTACACTCGAAATAAGTGTTCTTTTAATCCACATCTATGCTTCAGCTTAAAAGAAGAAATATCACAAGTGCATCTTGCAAATATATAATGGGATGTTGTGAGCATTACTATTTGCACAAATCATATGAATAAAATTTCCAAMACATGAAGAGAATTATCCTTGAACATCACCCCAAAATAATGAAGATGTTACTAAAGACTGAATACCCAATGAACTTTGGGATCTAGTTGAGAAGTAGCACATGTTCATGCCATTAAAGAATACGTACACCAGGGACAACATTCAAAGCAAAAGAAGCTTTAGTTACACTTCTGAATGTACAGTTTCTTGACTTCAATAACATTCATTAAATATAAAGAAACATGTGCAGGTCTTCAGTGTTTCTGTTGTCCTTATAGACACAATCAAGCTGTTCATCAAATACATAATATATCATTATAAGTGTTCAGAGGATTTTGACAGTAAAAAAAGGGYTCTTTGATGGGTTTATAAATTGAGGAAAAAAGGAAAGGCAGCAAGGAATTGACGGAACAAAGTGCCATCTAGCTGTTTCCAACACAGTCAAGTCAACATTAATTCTGCCAGCTGCAATACAGACTTCTTTAGCTTGCATAGTTTTAGTAATTCAAGGTTATTTATCAGTGCTCAAAGATTTCTTCTTAGCTAAGATTATGACAGATACCTTATTACAATAGTAGGAAAAAAACCATGTGGTTTTACTGGAGGAAAATGAACACTGGAGAAAAATCAAAAATCTGTATCTTACCAATATTTTTCTGAATTTCCATGATGAAATATTTCTCTGGAGCACTACAAGTGAAGGTAAAAGTGACATTCTCCCCAGGCTTTACTCTGAGTTCAGACCTAATGCCATTTTTAGTGCGAATTAGACAGCTCCGTGAAACACCCGATCTCAGTTGAATCGTAACTGTGGTGTTGTCCACTTTATGAAGGGAGATTGTAAAGGAAGCTAAGAAAGAAAAAAACATACAGAACAGAGGTGTTTTGTTACTAGCAGGTATGAGAAACATCAGGCTCTCCATACACCCCCACAGATGCAACAGTGTCCGAAGGAATATTAGCATCCCCATTCTCAGGAGCCTCTGGTGTTCTACCCACAGAAAATGTCTCCTATCTTCCAGAACAGACAACAGAAAAATATGCTTGCTGCATGTGCCCAGGAGAGGTACAAAGGGAATTGGTGCAGAATCAGTTCTGCTCCAGTTTACCCTCACCAGAGTAATTTATTTCACATTTAAAAAGTAGCTCAGCTATTCCTTTCAATTTTTTTTTCTCCTGATTTTTGTTTTCAGCTTGTTACCACACAGCCTGTTTCATTTCTGAAGGCACCCATCAAGTCACGACTCAATTCAGGAAGTTTATTCAGCAGCTGAAAAAAACCACGAGCTCCAGCTTTAATCACAGACAATGGTAACCCTGAATCCCTGGGTGTAGATCAACAATTACTGCAGGCCAGATGAGTTATTCCAGTGATACAAAAAGCACATGCCAACAGACATTTTTACATGCAGTCATGGCCCTCTCCCACCCTCCCCACCCTTCACAACTCATTCCCTGAAGGTACAGGATATCTGTGCAGCGCCCCTCACCAGCACAGAAGGCATCTGGTGCCCTGRAACAGACGGTGTGTGCTTGGACACCTCCTCTCCATCTCTGACATGACCATCRTTTATTCACAGTTTTTGGGAAACACTTCACAGACTTCAGCCTATCCTCAAGTACTGCCAGATGCAGGAGCAGCTCTCACAGGAAATACTGAAGCCACTGAATAAACTGCTCATTGAATAAAATTTTATTTTATGGGTAGCTGTTTATTAAAAAAATGGCTCAAGCCTGACTGTCTTCTACAAATATACACACAATATAAGACACAAGGGAGCAYTGACTGGACTTTCAAGTTGACTATTATTAACTTCAGTTGCATGCTTAGCAAATATTGAGCCYAGCCCTGGCTGAAATAAGCCAAGTTTGCAATGAAGTCAACCATAKCCCAGCACCAGGTGAAAATCTGAGGAAGGTCAGTCAGTAAGTTTTTCTCTACTTGTTTTCATTGTTCTCCCTTCCCTGTTTCAGTGTATGGAAGATAGAATCACAGCGTCTACAGCACTTGTGCTTTCAGTGTAGATGAAAAAAAGAATTATGCAYATAAAAAGTAGTGAGAGATCTAGAAATAAGGGTGCTACAAGTTTGGTTCTCTTCCTTAAGTGGGGCATCACACAGGGCTCCATGACAAAGCTCTGCCCGTGTGCCAGGCTAGGAATCCCCTTGCTCATTATCCCCAATGAAGAAAGATTTAGGCTGGTAAACCCAGCAGTGCAGCGCCCTGAGGGAGCCCCTGAAGCCATCCCAATTACCAGGCAGCATGTCAGGAAGGTGTAGGAKAACAGCTGGATCACACACATCTGCAGGATGCCCCAGGCTCTTTCCAGCTGCTCAGCATCCCTCCAGCACCAGTCTGGCCTGTGTCAGCTGCTGTTGGTGATGGGGGGATAAGGAGGCTGGTCAAAGCCCAGATGTGCAGGGGCTCACCTGGTGGGGGTTGTGGGGAGAGGGGCTGAACACACCAGGGGAACCCTTGATCAGCAGAGCCCTCTAAAGGCACAYGAGCACACCAGAGACCCTCAAAAAACATACCCACCTAACCCAAAACTTCAGTCATCGCAGCTGTTGAAAGCAGCTCATTCCATTAGTGACTCAATTACACACAAAGACCAAAGACCATCTGTTCTATTGAATAGAGGTTTAAAAACCTCCTATCTTTTTGCAGGAATCTCATGGTTTTGCAGGGCCTGACTTTCACTGCAAYGATTTGTAAAAGCCCTGGGGATTGAGCAGTCGGCATGGTCCATCCCTGCTGCTGGAAACATTGAGGCTCCAGGTGTGCCAACACCAGGCATTAAAAATCCCACTGCTAGGGTAGTAGTACAGAATAGAGTACTCAAAGACATACCCCATCATGTGTTTATATGAGTTTTGTTGGTCTTGAGCCTTTTTGCAGCCTTTTTGGCTTTTCTACACAATCTTGGAGTCAAAAGACATCGCAAGTCCCTGAAACTGCCTTACCTATTTGCCTCCAGGATCAAAGGCTTTAAAGGAAAATCTCAAACACAATGAGGCTTGCCAAATTGCAGCACTTATTTTTAAACACTACTTTACCAACCCTCTAATACTATTAGTGAGTACCTGGCCACTGAGTAACTTTCCTAAAGCTTTTAAGTGACRGGACAGTTCTCTGCCCTGAGAGCCTACACTGAATTCTSCAGCCTCTTCCAATGGCTTGCACAMTTTATGTCCATGTTTCTGTCTTAGAAATGCTTTTGTAGAGGATTTTCCTGAGGAAATAAAAAAGATGATGGTATGGCCTGGGAATTGACTGTGCAATAGCCTTCCAAGCATACAGGGGACAATTGCAGGGGCAATGTCCATGGGGTGGGGAGAAGAAGAGGGTAAAGCCAAGCAAGCAATAAGTGCTGCTTTTCCTCGTTCTTCAGGAGGAAGCAGTCTCCAGAAGAGAAAATGAAACAACTACTTCCAACCTARCCCAGAGTTTGTTTCCCATACCACTTGATTCTTTTTGGGTTCTCTCGGGGTTTTTATTTATAACACTTAGTTCACAAAATACATTTGACCATGATGGTCATAATTTTTCTGATGTTTAACTCATCCAGATACAGAGTGTTTATAGCATAAAAACAATACTTAATAATTATGGACAAAAGAGACTTCTTCCTTGAGTATGATAATTGTCATAGGTATTTTGAGTATTTATAAGCATTACAGAAAAGTCTGMTCCTAACTCTCTGGCCAAACAGTTATCACTGCTCCTTTTCCCATCCCTGGGACGGCACAGCCACATGGCCAAGCTGGCAGGACAGAGACCAGGACCACCAACAGCCAGCACTCCTGCACCACATGCTGGCATGTGGCTCTCATTCTCAGTCATGAGGATTAAGTCTAAGCACAGGCTTAAACACATGACTAGTTTTAAATTAAAACAAATACACACCCTGAGCTGAAACCAAGGAASAGAAATTTTCAAATCCTTCCTGCAAGGGTCAAAACAAACATCATCTTCCCAAGCCCTTAAAAGGACCCAAATTCTGCTGCCTSGGCTTTTTCTCTCCTCCTTCCCCCTCCTCTTRCAGACTTRATGACCACAAAATCATTCTTCATTTGATCTCTCTGCAAGAATATCAAAYATTTGTCAGCTCAATATCGTTTTCCAGCATGGATGTGTCCCATGCCTCAGCTTTCCTGAATAGGACCTGCCCAAAAATCACAGAAATGTTTTCAATGATCAATRCATCATCACAGCAGTAGGCAGCAGGGATAAAGATCCATACCAAACTACGCCAGCAAAGTTGCTTGCCGGAAGCCCACATGAGAACAGATACCTTTAGTGCATAAACAAACAGCTTGCACAGATGAAAATCCACAGATAATAATTCTGGCCAAGAAATAAGAGCGTGGTGCTGTAATGCCAACAGCAGCCAGCTGCTAGGGATGTGCTAAGCTACATTAGACTACCAAATCCAGCAGGAAAWGTAGAATAGAAGAATCATGCAGAAAATATATCCAGTGATCCCACGGTCAGAAAACGTAAATGAACAAATGGTCAAATCTCCAAACTACAGCCACACATGAGCAGCATGACAGAGACACTTGTTTAAGAGCCCCTTTTATTGAAGAGCTTTTATAAACACGAGCAAGTTTCCTCATGACTCACACTAATCTGTCTTTGTCTATGACTCCCACTGCATGCCTTTTTATTAGGATTACCAGTAACTGGACAGATTTCTTGAAAAGAAGCAATTTCCATGCCTTATTGCTGCTGCACAGGGATGACACACAGGATATCCAAACCAACAAGAGGAAGCATTGCCAAGCTGGATCTCGTCTCTGTCTATACSACAACAGAATCATTCAGCTAGAAGATGTCCTGAGCTGGTTCACAGATAATGCAGATGGCTGATCTCACCTTATTCTTTTTCCCTCTAAGCAATTACAATTTTGWASCCTTCCTYGGATATTTCTTCAATTGCCCTAATCTGAGTCTGCACCCTCCCTTTCACAACYGGATTTTTCTACTGCTCATCCTCATTTCAGAATGTGGCTTCGTGAGATCTGTCTTATCACAGCATCCCTCTATTACTAAAGTAATGTCCCTCGCTGCACAAACACAGCTTTTTCTCAACCGTGTATTTCCAAACTTTTATGTTACTCCTCAAAACTTTCCCTCTGGGGTTAGAAACAAACTGCATGGTGTAAAACAAGTTTGATGACTCCAGAGAGTTGAGCCTAAATTTACTTACTGTGTTTGCACCTGACAATCTCATAGCAATTTTAACATGTATATACAAATGTCAAAGGGAAACTTTTCCTGTACAAGAGAGGGGTGCAATGTAGAAGGCAGCTGGTGAGTATTTGGGGCAGTGGCACKCACAGAGCGTGTATGTATGCACAGGCAAAGGACTTGGCAGAACAGCAATTTTATGGCTATGTAAAGTGCCTTGCTACACAAAGCAGGAGCTAGAACAGAGTCCAACTAGTTTTGGCTTGACAGCTGCATTTTATTGCAGTAATTTACCCATAAGGATCTATGGKTTGTTTCACATGACTTGACTGGATGGATTAAAACAATGAAAAAAGCCCCAGACAGACCAAGCAAACAATACTCACAACAAAATCCCAGATGTTAGTTTATCCCAGAATTATGTACAAAAGCTGTTGGTTTGCTCATTCYGGTTAAATCACAGGCTTGTTCCATTACAGCCATTTTTCCCGAAACCCAGTTGGATGGGGCTGACTCAGACACCATTCATGAGCTGCTGCGGAAGACGAGTAGCAGCAACACTCGTTCTGGTTATGAAATGCCTGTGTCCAAACCCCTGTTCTGCCTGAGGGRGACCTGAACCCACACAACCAACACACTTCTCCAGAGAACAGACTCTTTCCCTGCCACCAGCTC